CCGCCCGGCCCTTCCTTCTTCCAGCCGAGGGAGAAGCGCCGGCGCTCGCTTTGGTTACTTCGTGTGGTTCGTTTGGGCTGAAAGAGCGTTTAACTTTTGGGGGGGACTAAAAATGGGGTTTGTCCTTTGAAACTTGCCGTCTGTTTTCCTTCCCCTTGGAGGCACCTGCTCGCAGGGCTTATCGCCCGCAGCAGGCACCGCGGGCCTGACAGCCTGAGGCAGGGCGTGCTTTCAGAGGTCTGAAGGGCTCTTTATTTCTCTTTTAAGCCCTGACCTTGGTAGCTGTTTTGTTGGCTGGTGAGTTTTATTACTGCTTGCTTTCATACAAACAGATGAAGCACTGGGAATAACCTGGGTTTGCTGTATGCTTGATCTGTGCGGCTTTTGCTCTTTCACGGTTACCTTCTCTGTCTTTTTACTCGTCAGCTGATAGAGCTGCTGACCTTATACCAAAACTTCAGAGAACTCAGCCTGCCAAACTTGGGTGCCCGGTCTTGCTCTGTGCTTGAGTTTTTGGTTGTTTGAGGCCATTAAATTGACTTAGGTATGAGGGGTTTTGCTTTTTTCTCAGCTTTCACTACATGTCTGTAAAGCGCATGAAGTTCAATTGATTGATACCGTACCGTGGCCAGCTGAAAAAAAGGTGCATTTTTATAAAATTACACCACTTGTCAAGTTGGTTGGCACAAAGAAGGAAAGGTTTTGTATTAATGAAGCTGGTGATTAGCGCTTATATTTCTCTCTCTTCTTGCCTAGATCGAGCGATTGGAAGTCAGCAGCTTAGCGCAGACCTCCAGTGCAGTGGCCTCGAGCACTGATGGCAGCATCAACGCGGACTCTGTTGACGGGACCCCAGATCCTCAGCGTACAAAAGTGGCTATCACACACCTGCAACAAAAGATACTGAAGTTGACCGAGCAGATCAAAATCGAACAAACAGCCCGTGATGACAATGTGGCAGAGTACCTGAAACTGGCCAACAATGCAGACAAGCAGCAGAGCGCCCGCATTAAGCAAGTGTTTGAGAAGAAAAATCAGAAGTCAGCCCAGACCATCTTGCAGCTGCAGAAGAAACTAGAGCATTACCATCGAAAGCTGCGAGAGATTGAACAGAATGGGATCCCTCGGCAGCCGAAGGATGTCTTCAGGGATATGCATCAGGGTTTGAAAGATGTCGGAGCAAAAGTCACTGGCTTCAGTGAGGGAGTAGTAGACAGTGTAAAAGGTGGGCTTTCCAGTTTCTCCCAAGCCACGCATTCAGCAGCAGGAGCTGTTGTTTCCAAACCCCGGGAGATTGCCTCCCTCATAAGGAACAAATTTGGGAGTGCAGACAATATTGCTAATCTGAAAGACTCTTTAGAAGAAGGCCAGGAAGATGGGACAGGCGGCAAGGCTCTAGGTGTTATTCAGAACTTTCAGTCAAGCCCAAAATATGGCAGTGAAGAAGATTGCTCCAGTGCCACGTCGGGCTCAGTGGGAGCCAACAGCACAACAGGGGGCCCTGTGGGAGCTTCCAGCTCCAAAACAAACACTCTGGATATGCAGAGCTCAGGGTTTGATGCAATACTGCATGAGATTCAAGAAATTCGAGAGACACAGGCAAGACTGGAAGAATCATTTGAGGACCTTAAGGTTCGCTATCAGAGGGATTACTCATTAATCATGCAGACTCTGCAGGAGGAGCGGTACAGGTATGTACTTTTGTACTTTGTTTCAGAATTAAATACCGTGAGTTGTAGAGCATCAGAGTCCTGGATAGCACTACTCAGCAGTTTGTTCCCAGCAGCCTGATTCAGATGGGAAGTTCTGCGGTATTCTCAGGATTTTGCCTTCCCAGCTTTGTTTTTTGTAAATACCGTTATCTTGCTGCTCATGTCCCTGTCTGTACAAGAAAGAAATAACAAGGAAAAAGGTAATTTCTTAGTGTTTGCGAGATAAAAAGTCAAGCCAAATAGGTTTAGAAAGGTGTCCCAAAATACCAGGAGTACATTGATGCAGTTACTATTATCCAGACAGTGATTTGCCCTGCAAAAATCCTGCAAAGGTTTGGGTCAAGGCAAGAGACAGGCAACTACATGTGGACAGTATCTTGACCCTGCCTCCTCCAACACTCAGATCCATATCTACCAGAGAAAGAAATATCCAGCTTTCTTAGGGCTCTCCAAAAAGACACGATCTTGCCCACGTGCCAAAACTAAGATATCCCCTTCCCTTCTGCACTCAGCCCCACAGTGGCAGGGTTCAGTGAAATGAAGTTAAATTAAATGTCAGATATTGGCAGTGCTCTTGTCATGAAGGCTACATGGCTCTGGAAGTGGGTAACTCGTGTTTCCATCAGCCTTCCCGTCGCTGGAAGGAATGGAAAGGCAGAGGAGTTGCTGCAGTACTGCCGGTCCCCGATCAGGTCACAAGGGAGAGGTGACGGTGGTTTCAGGGACGCAGCCTGACAGTATGGTATGGCGGCCAGCTCCTCCCGCCAACCTGAGGCTACCCCCACCAGGGAAAGCAAGCCATGGAGAGGTGCTCAGGGAAGGCTTTCCCTTACCCTTCCTTGCTGGGTGGGAGGGAGCTCTCAGCAGGCTGCCTTGTGCTCTCCGGCAGAATGTCTTGCGTCCTCGCCATCACATGCTGGGAGCAAGGGCTTGTCCCCAGGCTCTGGAGGGAAGAGTTACCAGCTGCCCTTTTGCAGCTGTTCAGGACACTGCAGTCCACATCAACAGGATTCGTAAACCGCACTTTTGAAACTTTAAATAACAAATGCAAGGGGCCCAAGTCCTTGTTCTGAGGGAGGACACCAGGCTTTTGTAATGAGGTTGCTTATGGCCTTCGTCACTTCAGCCAGGCTGTGAAGCACAACCTGTGAGGCTCAGGAGAGCTGCTGGGTGTGGGGACAGGCTTTCTGAAATACCCTGTGCCACTTGCTGTGTTGGTTTGCACAGTAGGACATGGAGTTGCCCTACAGCTCTTTAGACATGCTGGTGCCAGATCATTGGAAAAACATTTGAAAAGGCTTAGCCTGCTAGGATCTTGTAGAGACAGCAAGCTTTCTGTGTGTTTTGCAAAGCTTGGATAGACAAAGCCAGACCAGCACCACTTTCTAATCCTGCTTTGCAACAATCAGCGATTTGACCGAAACCGGCGCCTAGCACAGCAACTTTGGTTCCTAGTGCCTCATTGTCATGAAGTCACGTAACGAAGTGATATGGAGTTTGATCTTCCGCTCCCCAGCAGAGAGGGGTCCTGTTGTCTGTTGCTGTGTGGGTTGTTGTTTCACAAATACAGCAGCAGCCATTCATGGTGGAACGCTATATGCAAGCATAGTACAGCTGAAGGAGCGGCCTGAAAGTACAATAGAAGACCTTGGGGACTGATGTATGTTGTCAGCTAATCTGGCTAGTTATTTCCTGAAACCATTTAGCAAGGTTCACTTAGGTCCTCATACTCGTGCAGTATGAAGTCATACCTGTCACATGCCGTTAACCTTTACTGAGTGCTCCCCTGAGGTGAGCCCAGAGCCTAAGATCAAACCAAGGCAGCCTGGAGTAAAAACCTTCTGGGAGAATCTGTATTTGGCTTATAAATGTGTCAAAAGATAGTAATTTAGACTTGCCATTTGGAATGTGGATGCAAATTAATTAGAGGTGTGACCTTTAAAGAGGGGCGGTTAAACCACACTAAGTACCCTTGCCTCTGCAGGCTTTCAGAGGTGGGCAGGTAACTGCACAATCTGCAAGAAGCTCATGGGTTAATCACAGCGAGGTTAATGCCTTATTGTACAAATCTAGATTCTTGTTTGATAGCTTCTGTATTTTAAAACACCATGAAGATGAAAGCCAACATCGCCTTGAGAACTGGAAGATTACATGAAAGTCCAAGGGCAGAGAGGATGCTGCTGCCTTGGCGGAGAGGGCTGGCACCTGTTCCTCTGACTAGGAACCCCTCGTGTTCCTCAGCTCTCTTCAGGAAAAAATGAAAAGATGGGAATGGAGGTTGTGGTTTGAAGCTGGGAGGCTGGGGATTCAAATTAATCATAACTGGCTTTAAAAGCTATAAATACCTCGTAACTCTGCTCCATTTCCAGGAAGTTTTCAAAAACATGCACTGAGTTCAGTTAGAGCTTAAAAAAAAAAGTATTTTGGAGAAGCCTTTGCTCTTAGGGCACCACTGAGTATTTGTATTGTACCTGGGAGCTGGAACAAAGCACATGCCATGACATTTTCTCACCTGGTCTTGGTCCGTTTCCTCTTTCTTAGATGTTCTACTTTTTTGCAAGTTCTGACCTTTTTTTCCTTGCGTGTTCATGCGGTTTCTGTTTATCAGCCATGGCTTGCCTCTCAGGTTCTCCATGACCACCTCAATCTCTTCCCTCCCTCTCCCTACTTGCAGATCTTGCCTATCAATCCATGTAGCTGCTGGTTTGCTAACTGGCTCTGGGGCAGGGACTTGCTGATGCAGTCACTCCAGTTCTCCCGCCCTGGTGCTGCAGGGTGCCCAGGCTGGCCTGGCGGCACCTCGGGAAGGCCGGGGCGGGCTGTGCTGCCCTGCCTGCCTGCTGGCCCCGGAGCACCGCGCCGCTCCGCCGGGGCTGAGTCATCGAGGAAGGAAGATTCTGGCGGTGCCTTGGCCATCATTGTGTTTCTTCTGTACTGGGAGTGGGTGCTGAAATAGCCTGTTGCTTATCTCATCGGTTGGAAGGTGGCGGTTGTTTACTGATATGACCAGGGACTTTCTGTGCTATTGAGACTGAAATAAAGTTCCTGCT